ATCATAATCATGCAAATTTTATTATTGGCAAATGTCAAACCTCTGATACACCCAAAAAGGTAATATACTACGTTTTTATTAGATTTTATGTAACCTAAGACGGGATAACAATCAAGGCACGAATTTTCTGCGAATTTTGAAAGGCCGAATTTGGAAAAAAAAAAGCAAATACAATTTTTAGCATACTTTTACAAATTACTGATTATTGTTTTGAGATGATAAGTAAAAATTAAAAATAGTCAAAAAATTTAATTCTAAAAGATGACGAATTGGGAGAGATGACGAATCTCAAAATTGAAACCTGACCATCAAGTCAATGCTTTTAAAATAATTTAACTGAAGTCTAAAATGTAAATTGATTTTTAAATTAAAAATTTGTAATATGTTAAATTAAATACCTGTATCTGTAAATGTTACTTTATAAAATGGTCCTTTTTATACAAAGCACAAAACGTGAACGCAATAAAAATAAGCTTATTCATCAGAAATAAAAAGCGCACATATAAAATAAAAATTATTTTCGAGAAAATTCCATAATAACTTATTCAAATCCGTAAGCTATTAAAAGATACAAGCATCTCCTTCACTTACTTTTCAGCTCTGACGGTAAAACGTATTTATACCGCGACATTAAATAAGTGAAAGACTCATATATTATATATTAATAAAAAACTGTGTGCTATAGAGGCGAATGAACAGGCTGAGTACACTTCTTGGCGTTAAGTACGTATTTTATGAAGAAAAGCCGTTTTTATTTTCGTTTTTTTTATTCGGCGTATAATAAACGGAGTTTTTATAATCGCGGTAGTGTGTGGTGGCAGCAGTAGGTGTACGTATTGAATTCGGGGGCCTCGATGTCACTCGTAAATACTGATTTGACGTTCCAATAAGATTCGGTTTTTAGGTATATCAGATTTGATGACTTGTGACAGGGGAGGACAACTTGGATAAAAAACACTTAAATACTGAAGTAAATGCACAGATCCTGTAGCCCCTCTTTTATGCGTACCCATGTGGACCAATTTGAGAATCACTGTTGTCTAAATATACCATGGTTTTTGAACTATCTCAGTTTTTTTTTAACATATTTGAACCGTCATCAACTTAAGAGTAACTATTCGTTTTTGTTGTAATAATTTGACTTAACTTACTACGTCGGTTTTATAGATAGCTACCCTAAACAGTAGGATTTGGGATCTATGTGATGATTGAAATCCCGTAGTTCTAACCATACAGGCGAGCCCTCCATAATAGTTGAATATCAAAATATCGTCATTCTAAATGACATCAATACCTAATCACATTCGTCAATTTCCAAACTGTAAATTTCGGTAGCCAATTTGTTTTTTTCCCCAGTTCAGGCCACCTTCCCCATCATTATTTTATCGGCTTACCTTGTTTTTATTTCCATCCCGTGTACGATTTTATTCGAAAACGGATTTGTGGGTTACAGATGTCAAAGTATATTGATTCTAAGTTTTAGTAGCGACATGCTTCATTGAAATAAAAGAATAAGACGATCTCATAAGCCGACCGGAGGATTAACGTGTCGTCTTTGAGGGTAACTGGATACATTGAAAAGTATTAGTAGGCGGACTTTTTGTATCGTTAATGAATTTAGATGATCGGATTATTATTAAGACCGTATCACAGGATTACATGTGTCTTGATTGGACAATGAGCAATTTAGAGATTCCTCGGATGCAAAACGAGGTCGCAGATTTGCGAGATAAATGTAATAAATACACATGATAATGTTTTTTAAGAGTTAAGTCGACTTAGCATTGTCTGATCTGTTATGATGAATATCTGCACCTATATGGAGCATCAGCAAGTATTTGGTAGTAAAGTTTAGTGTGATAGTTATTGGACGACCAATATTTGGTGTTTGGTGTATAATGGTTATTTAGATTAAAGTTCATATGTCCATTACCATCCATGCTGATTTTCTTTCGTCTACTTATTCCAGAAATACGGTATTCAGTTATAAATCAGAATAATACTTCAATAAATCAAGAGTAGCAATAAATGAGCATGTACGCATTATTTTCGCACTGAAAACGGCACAAGTGCAAGGGTTTTGAAATTAAATAGTCAATGTTAACAGAGTTGTAAAATTGAAATACGGTATTGCCTCGTAGCAAACTCTGCATTTATTGCTCATTGCATCGGAAACCTAGCTATTATTCAACACAGCTGTCTTCGTTTATGTTATGGCTACGCCGTACATAACATGTTAATACGAAAGCCTATTCAAGTAAATGAACATATTATATTTACATGTTAATACCTACACAATCGTATATCTGTACATGTACATGTGATATATAAAATATTTTATACCAAAGACACTCCTTGTCTTTTGCTGATTTGTGGACAGCAACTTTCCCTTGGCTTTTTGAAATTAACAAACCCCAACTCTACGCCACTATAGAATATATTAAAATAATTAAGATTATTACAAATAAGGCCATTTAGTAATTTCCCTAGAAATATTCCTTTAATACACTCTGTGTGTTACTTTACTATAATACGCCATCCATATATTTCCCAGTTCGTATAATATATCCTTGGCGCGGTTTTGCCTTCATACGAACTTATAGGAAGTCAAGTGTCATGTGTCGCATAAAACCGGAAATGTTTTGACACGAGCCTTCTTGGCGCCACTTTTGATTACATAACGATATGAAAAGAAAAAAATGCAACGAGGGACTGGGATATATTATATCTTTACACGATTTCAAGAATGAAAAAGCCATACAAAACCTTTATAAAAAAGCTTAGAAGAAAGTTGTGCATTAGTTAATTTTTTTTTTTCTTCGTAACAATTACCTGTATATTTTGACTAAAAACCCTTGAAACCAATTTTATCCAAATATGTTTGTATCCTCATCTATCATTTTTCTGGCTTCCAATTTTATACATGTGTATCAAAATACAACACAATATTCATAAAATATCATGAGTCATAAAAAATTATTGCCACAAATCTGTATAATATCATATACGTTGTGTATTTTTTATCAGAGCCTCTGAAGTATAAAGAATCTTCTTTTGACAATAACTGTATGTCGTAAAAGGTTGATGTCGATGATATCAATAATCTTCAGAATATAATAAGCTCGATAACTCCGAGCGGGATAACCTTTTGAAGTGCTCTATCACGTCAGGGAAAATGTCGTCCAGTAGAAAATTGGGTCAAGTATAATGGAAATATAAGTTGGGATTGAAATTTTCTAATCTAGGAATTAATTGATAAATAGAACAAAAATAGCTGAAGCTGAAGCTGCTCAACATATAAAAACAATCAAGATCAAGGGTTTGAGATTTAAAGCATCACCATCCAAAAATTTTGTTAGTTCTTCCTTTAGCATAATATTTCTATTTGTTTGTAATGCATTCATATTAGTTAAATTGCAGGCTCCTACTTGGTCTTATTTCAAAAAAAGCTCTTATTCTGGCGTGGTCATTAATATTTTATGACTAAATTGCTAAAGCATGCAGATCCACCCTGCTTTTCTTCGCCAAAAAGATAATTTTGAACTCTATCACTTGACTCAGAAATCTGGAGCAAACTAATCATTGATTATTACATAAATCTTTTATATTAAGGTGTTATGTCTTTCATATTTTCCCATGTATCTCTTTTCCTTCTTTGAAGAGGTATTTACCGCAAACTCTCGGTGTATTTAAACAGCTATTATTCCAGCAAAGTCAAAATATGCTTTAACATACAGCCTCACAAGCAACAAAACTGTCTCTACGTCGGTTAATTAATCTGCACCCGGAACGATGTTGGAATTTCTGTCATCAAACATCCTTTGAATCTATGTCAATCTTTGTCGAGCTAAGACTTCCCAGTAAAACTTACCGCAAACGCATATGAGACTATGAGACGGATTCAAGGCGCACTTGCACATTAAACATCGCTGGTAATAAATTTGCACTAAGTGCTGTAGGCCTCAGGTCTTTCTCGTTATATATTTATACGGTACCTTTATTCATCTCATTTTATTTCTGTGCTAAATACTACCTGAACGTTGTATTAGACAAGACACGGGCTCGTAAATGCCATCTTCAGGAATTATCGTTACGTGTTACAAGCACACTGAGTTTGTGTACATAATGTCTTGTTAGAAATATGTTTGCAGTTGTAATTTGCAGAAGAACGACGTGCACCGTTTTTGCACGAGATTGACTTTTGAATGAATAACTGCAAACTGCTGGGTGCCTTCATCGTGATTAAGATTCGTTACGAGGTCAGGGGATAAATCATACCTTCATAATGGACTTAGTGGAAGATCATTAAGAAAAAATGGCAGGATTTTGAGATTGTTTGGCGTGAAATTATGTCCTGATAGTCTTGTACAACTGTTTTCTAGAGGCTTGTTGGTTCTACGATAGTCGACAGAAAGTCTGAAATAGTGCAACACAAACCATATGCAAACAGAAGTGTAAATAGAGCAATTCCTAACTCCGCTGTTACTATAAACAAGTGTGTTTACAATACACCACCGTTCGTCCGTTAATAATCCTTTTCACAGCTCTTATTTTACAACTATATATACAGCGTGCAACACACAACAAAAAGCCCTCTGGGTCACCGGAATATTATGTTTTCGTTTTAAAAGCTTTAAACAATACGTTTAAAACAGAATAAATATTAATGGGCGTCGAGTCGGAATACTAAATCAATACCCCACCGCACGCCTCCACAATAACCAAGCGTTGAAATGTTTTCGTTCGGTACGGACCAACATACAGCGAAATTATTCACAATGTTATTTATTCCCGGAATGGATTTTTGTATTGTGAATACCGGGTTCACGTTTACGTTCATAAATGTACACAAACGTACGACTGTGAAAATGCGCTTATCGCGCTTTGAAAAAGAAAAATGATGTGCAACTTTGTATAAAACAGTAACTTCCGCGGTTGTTCTACAGTATAAATTTTGCCAGGATTCTGATTTCTAAATTTAGTATGTATTTTTTTTTCAGAATTCGCACGGAGTCTCATGGGGGTGCCTGGTGTCCCAAAAACCAAATTACAAGTGAACCTCGGGAATGGCTCGAGATAGACTTGCATACTGTACATGTGATAACTGCCACCGAAACTCAGGGTCGTTTTGGAAATGGTCAGGGTCAAGAATATGCAGAAGCTTATGTTCTGCAATACTGGAGACCAAGGCTTGGAAAATGGGTGCCGTATAGAGATTTCAAAGGAGAAGAGGTAAGAATCAATCTACTGTAAATTAAGTATTACTTTGTCAACTTTGGTCCCGATGTCGATGATCAAAGAGGACAATGTATTTCAGAATAAAGTGAAAATAATTCTTTTTTAGCGAATCGGCACTTGCTTAATTACGAACCTAATAGTTAATTTTTTTGTTATTTACTTTTAAAGCCCTTGAAATTTCTATTACTATCATATTACCCAACGACGATATACATTACAAACTTCTATTACCATATTCCCATCACTGACATTAACCAATCGATGCATGCTACTCGGGAGTATCGCCGAATTCAATAATCCTGAATTATCGAGTGGCGACCCAATTGGAATCCCACTCGACAGTCAAGTATCATAAAGCCACGGGTCAATTATAATATCAATCATGACTGAATTCATATTGCCACTTGGATTATGCGTATATGTTGCGTACATCTACATACCAGATGACTGGCGTGTGTACGCAACAGTCAATACAGGATGAAACATTGCATTATACAAGCCGTCAATCGATCGAGTTAAAGTTGTTAAACGGCTTATGGGATGGATGCAAAAATTGGAAATGGTCACATGACAATTTAGGTTGATCTCGTTTAGGCTTTTGGTCATTGATATTTGGTGTAATGTTGAATTAGATACAGTAAATAAGCGCGATATACTGGGTGGATGCAAAAATTGACACATGCCACTTTTGGTTGATCTCGTTCAGGTATTTGGTCAGTGATGGTTGGTCCAACATTATATTAGATATTGTAAACAATCGCGATAGGCTGGATGGATGCAAAAATGGACTTATGCTAATTTTGGTTGATCTTGTTTAGGCATTTGGTCATTGATAGTTGGTCCAATATTATATTAGACGCTGTAAAAAATTGCTATATACTGAATGGGTGCAAAAGTTGATACATGCCAATTTTGGTTGATCTGTTTAGGCATGTTGTGAGTGATGGTTGGTCTAATTTTTTATGAGTTACTAATTCATTATTAATATTTTTTTAATATGAAACAATTCAACAAAATTTAAGTTTATAAAAGTCTTGAAATAATTTACGATGATTGACATCTACATTTGGTGACAACTTTGCTCATCATATATCTGTTATCATAATATTAAGTAATCCCAATAAAAAACCTAAATTATCTCTTAATAAGGCATAAACTTTTCCAATGATTTTATTGACACAGTAATAATATAAATTAGTGAGTTAAAAAAGTATTTCACTCGGCGCTCCAATAAATGGTGGCTCTGACCCTAGAACGTAATGAGTTCAAACGTATAAAATTGCTCTAGTACAAATCAGAAGAAATGTGATTTTGATTACTAAAGCCGAGACAGTGCACTTGATCTAATAAGTAATGGCGTTTATTTGAAATGGAAAGATGTCTTTGTAGTTACAGATAATCAATCTTTGCTTCAAAAACCATATGATGTAATTGGACTTATTTTAGCAGTTAACAGTTTTCAATGTAATAGTCATATAAAAAAGATTTCACAGGTACTTTAGAAACCACATACAGAATTATTTTATATTTTGGGTATCTCTGGCCACTTATCAATGCATAAATTCATATTAAGACATCTCAGTACGAGTACATTCTTTAATACCACTCTATTTAGTACGAGCAAGAATTTATTAAAACAGAGGTTGATTGAAAAGGTCAGATTATATGTGATTTTAATTCCGTTCATATGCATTCGTAATTGGTGCGGGAGCAATAAAGTATAACTTATAAAAAACAGCACCTAGTGATATTTTTATTGAAACATAAAAAGATAATGATAAGGGCACATATTCATTCATTAATAATATGCTAGTTTACGAGCTCATAAAATGTAGTTTTATAGAAATACATAAAAATCACATATTTGGAGATATACTCATAACGTGAATGCTATGTTAATTAATTAATTTCAGAATAGTGGACACTAAAATGATTATATAATATTTAGTTTATAACTTATCAGCCTTTCTTAATTATAAATTTAATATTTTCACAAAGTTTCCTTAACATACATCGTTATTCGTTTTCCTTGCTTCTTTTAGCATCTTAACGAGCTGATTAAAAAGTTAGAAATCTTTTTATAAGCTCAGTTCCCAGCGCGTACAACTTTCTCAAGATTTTATTTTTAATATCGGTTGTTGGTTTTATAACTTGTTCAAAAAATGGAACAGACGTGCCTATTCGCAGAATTAAAGGTACTTTTGGAATAAAAATTCGAGGAGCGTTTGCGTAAGTCTAATATGCTTTGTTAGTTTTTTTAGTACTATGCAGACTAGTACTTTGATGGCGAGGGAACATAAACAGAATTTATTTTTACTGACGGTCTCTTTGATTAGTGTAAAGTAAATATTATGATTTGAAACAAATATATTGGAACATGTTGTGTAAGGTATTTAAATATATTTTGGACATATGCAAGAAGTACATCATACCCGGGCGCCCAAGTCACCGGATCGGCATTCGATAAAAACATTCTAAGTACGGACAAAAATTTACATAGCGCAGATATAAAAGATGTGGAAGTCTGAATTATATAAATTATTTAATGCGTCAAAATTTGAACTGCATAAATTAATGTTTATTCATTTGACTATTATTCTGCCATCAATTGTAGTCAGATTATGCATACTAAAGTTCTAAAAATATATCGATTAACAAGTTCAAAAGCACTTTATGTATTCATCAATTATATGCATAATTTCAGACATATTTGCACAGTCGATGCAATTATCAGTATCTATGTGGACAGCAGCATCAAATGAAAATAGAATATTTCGTGTGTTTCCATTAAGCTTAATTATTTTGCACATTTATCGTATCAATCACCAAAATATTGGCAATGAATATAGAAATCAATTGATACCATAAATCCATTAACTGCTAATTGAATATTATAAATAATACCTCGTGATATCGTATATTTTGCGAATACATTAGTGCCTGGTGTATCAAGATTGGCCCGTGTGTATATATAAACTCACTACAAATTCGGTATGAATTTTAAATCTCCATTAATATTCATAACGTCGCTTGGGGTACAATATTTTACATTTCCATGACATTCGTGGAAAGTACACTTCATATTAGACAAACATACATTGTATATATACACAGACATACATTTGCAAGTCCATTTCTAAAATCAATTTCTTGGATTAGCAATTATAAGTGTAACATTTATTGATTTTTAACTTTCCTTAAATAACTTAAGGGTAAGTTATAGAAATCACAAAAAAAAATTAGCATACCTTAAGAAGTTGACGTTATTGTGTGCGTGACAATTATAAATGTATGTATGTGCGGAAACAAAATTTGAACGACAAGTTCAAGAGACACAGATTAACCAATTTGCATGATTCAAAAAGCATTCGATTCCTATTCATCGGGAGATGGGCTAATTTTTATTGACAGCCGTTTTAAAAATATAGGGCAAAAGGTATCAAAAAAACAATTAAAATTTTGAGAGAACGGAGAGTCCGACGTGAATGATTCAAAAAACACAGTACTTGTATTAATTGATTAAATTTCTGGAAAAGCAGAACCAGCGGTTTTAGAGATCAAATAAACAAAAACCTATGTATCGTAAATAAATTAATATAATATTTTATGATACAGTTATTCATGTATACCGGATTAGTAGAATTCAGTCCATAATATGTTAATCCATTGCAAGTACTCGGATCGAATCCTGGTCGAGTACAGCATATAAAAATAAATTAATCTAGATTCAAATAAAGTACATGAACTTAAAAAAAAAAAAAATATACAATAAAAAATGAAGAAAAATTACGAAGTACTAATTTACAAAGCCAATAATAAAGAAAGTTCATTTTCTGTATAAATGAGTAAATATAAGTTGCAAATATGTGTGATTATTTGTAGGTGAATGAATGCAAGAATAAGTGTACATATGATATACTTCCAGTTATAAAACCTATATTATATTCAAATATCATTTTAACTGACAACATACTACATAACATCTTTTTAGAATATACTCTACTTCATACCAGTGAAGCACAAATATTTTTCCACCCCCATATGTACACCTTCTTAATTCCATTAAATAATGTGTGTAACCCCTGACAAATCTCGACCTTTTCTTATTCCCGAATCTTTTATATATTTAGAAATTGCACGGTTTATTTAACACCTGAAGTGAAGGTATTAGTCAATTAAATGTGTTGAATATTGAATCGCAAACAGCACTGCTCGAACCGCATTCACGGATGATGCATTAACGTCACATCAATCACAAGAAGCAGTGACGTGCTGTCAACATACCTCTCTGGTTGAAGGAATGGGGCCCAGAAAAGCAAACAGACAGGGCTGAAGTAGGATATGAATTTGAAGACAACTAGATATAAAAAGGGTAGGAAGTAAGGTCACCATACGCCATGAATTGGGCCATGAGGGAAAACCCGGAATTCCACCTTGCGTTTGGGATTTTTATAGAAGCAATATTTTTTTAGAAATTAAGATTTTTGTCTAATTGTCTCGAATTTTTGATAAGTTATATTGTATATTTTAATGGGCCTATTTTGCCGCACAACAGACCAATGTTATGGCAAGGCCATGTTACGCTCCAACTTGCATGCATTATGCTACAGAATTATACTGAATACTGTCAAAATATCATGTATTTGCTGTGAATTCAGGCGTTTTATATATAAACTGCAACGTTACTTGTATGTTATGAAGCTGGGTCAGAAAGACCCTGCTTTATAAGATCGTATTTTTGACATTTTTGCAGTTTCTAGTTTAGGTTTTCTATTTGACAACCTGAGAAAAACGCCTGACAGCAACCACATGGTTTTTGTCAATATTTAAAATGATTTTGTATGAAAGGTTCTTCATAACCTAGCATTGCCATAACATTGGTCTGTTATGCGGCAGTGTCGCTAAAAAAATAACAAAATATACCAAGAATTATCAAAAAGTTAGTTGAAATGAATATCAATTCAAATTGTTATTTTGCATATGACTTGATGGCA